GAATTGCACAAAGCTGGCAAATGGCGGGATGACTTCCAGAGAAGAGGAGGACAAAAGGCCAGAGCAATCCGATGCCGAGCCAGCGAAGAAAAGCAAGCCAGTTTTGAGGACCAAGGCCAAACAGATCACTGTCGCGCGGCTACCCAAAGATCTGGTTCTTCACATCAACCGCAGTATTTTCGACAACTATGGCAACCAGCTCAAAAACACCGCTCACGTCCGAGTGCCTGCCAGGTTAGATTTCTTGAGCCGATGGTGTGCTCCTCTTGACAAGAACGATAGTTCTGTCGAGGCTATATTCGAGTTGAAATGCGTCGTGACGCATTATGGGAGCCATCATGACGGTCACTACATTGCCCTCGGGAAACGACACAAAGATTGGTATTCTTTCAACGACGAACGGGTTACCAAGATGTCAGAAGAGGAAGTCCTCGCTCGGGGCAACGGTTTCATGCTGTTTTACGAAGCTGTTGACCCACCTCCACCTCCTCAGGCAGAAGTGGAAATGCCAAAAGTGACAACAGCAGTCGTTGCGGGCCTGGAGGAAACTATCCCCCGAACCAAGGACCATCTTGATCCAGAGCAGATGGGTGAGATAGAGCAGCGGTCTGACAGACTGTTTGACGACGATGAATTGGGCGTGTCGGAATTCGACCTTACTCCCTCCAGCGAGGTGTCTCAAGACTCTAACTCTGCTTCTTCCCAGAGCAGCTCGCCGGTCAAGGTTCTGGCTGAGAAGACTAAGAAACAACACGGATCGGAGGGATTTCCTGGCATGAACTTGAAAACGGCGACCGATGTACCCAGTCACATTGTACAAGTTCCGTCTTCTGGAGGACCAACTTCTGCCGTGCCTGCCGTTTAAGAACAGAGCTGGCGATCTCCTGGCGAACGAAATTATGAATTAACGACAGAAGTGCCCAAAATATGATACCCAATGAATGCATGATTTAGCTATGGATGTATTCGCGTCAGTAATGGGAGCTGAAGTGTGATTATAGCAGCGTCACCAATTTACGGATATCATAATACCCTTTTGATTCCACGACGATATTGTCCAGTGTAGTGACTCGTTTCCTGTTCGTTGACTTTGGCTCGGCTTTGTGCAGGTTTGTTCGAGTCGAGAACTAGAATTTCTTGACCAAGGAACCAGCTATTGGATATACGAGTGCTCGTGTGTTGCATCCCCAAAGCAGGTCGGTTAGTCATCAACCCCGTTTAGTCCATCTTACATAAGTGCCATGGTGGGGCAACGCTCACCTATGCTCAGTGCGACTTTTCGTGCGTCATTGGATGACAGCGCAGGCACCTTGACGGACTGAGCCAAAACGTTCACCACGAAATTGACACAATCTGCCCGGGTACAAATGTAACGCTAATGAAGACGTAGAGAATAGAGAGTTGCTGCCACCTCCACCGTCACTTCTGTCTCCCTCCCGATCTCTGTCATGTCAAGCTCAAGAGATGCTCCGCAAGTGAGCCGCCGGATAAGCGAGGTGCTCCCTGACGATGTACGTCCGGCTTTCACAAGTTGAGATGTGATAATACTGATAGCGGTGTGCGCGCAGCGACAGGACGGCTCTAGCAGTGAGGATGACTACAACAGGAAGATCGAAGTGAGTTTGCCCATACCCGCATGCTGGAATGTGCATCACCTAATTCGTTTCCTTCCTCCAGGTTGTCTTTGACAACGATGTCGCGCGCCGACGAAAATCCTCGACCGTGCTCGCGGAAACCCCTGCGGTCGAGAAGCCACAGAGAATCCAGGCCGAGCGCACCAAGTCTCAGTGCTTGGTCCACAAGCTGGTCGAGAAAAGCTCGTTAGGACAGCAACCCCTGGTCGAATCCAAGCTCGAACAGATCGACGAGATCGAGCCTTCGTCGAAGCTGGATGTCAACGGTCCGACCTCGGGCAAAGACGACATCCGCGCGACCGAATCCCGCCTGCTCACTAAGAAACAATTGAGTGATATGGCCATGAGCGTGAGGACGTTGGCGAAGAGGTTGGGCAACCTAAAGGTCAGATTGAGGGTTCGGGCCATCTTCCTGCTCACAAAGATATATGACAAGACGTTGATTTCCAAGACGAAAGAGGTGACGAGGTGGTTGCTGTCCAAAGACAGGTCTGTACCTTATATTGTCTATGTCGAGGACAGCTTGAAAGACAACCCGGCGTTCGACGCAGAGGGTATTTGTGCCGAGGACCCTTCGTTTCGAGAGCGTCTGAGGTATTGGGATGCCGAGCTGGCTCGGAGGCATCCCCATACATTCGACTTTGTGATAACACTTGGCGGTGACGGGACCGTCCTCTATGCGAGCTGGCTGTTCCAGAGGGTGGTACCACCGGTGCTGTCCTTTGCCCTCGGTTCATTGGGATTCCTCACCAAATTCGACTTTGAAGACTACCAGAACACTCTATCGCAGGCTCTAAAGGACGGTGTGACGATCAGCCTGAGGCTGCGATTCGAAGGCACTGTTATGCGGACCAACAGGCGCGTCGACGATGCAGAATGCCGAGACATCGTCGAAGAACTGATCGGAGAGGAAGCCGAAGATCGGAACACCCATAGACCAGACCGGACATTTGAGATTCTGAACGACATCGTGGTTGATAGAGGTCCGAATCCGACCATGTCGACCATTGAGCTTTTTGGGGATGAAGAACACCTTACGACGGTGCAAGCAGATGGTATCTGTGTGGCCACTCCCACAGGATCCACTGCTTACAATCTTGCCGCTGGCGGTTCACTGTGTCACCCTGAAAATCCTGTCATTCTCGTCACGGCTATTTGTGCCCATACTCTATCATTCCGACCGATCATTCTTCCTGACACCATTGTTCTTCGCTTGGGAGTCCCATTTGACGCGAGATCGAACTCGTGGGCGAGTTTCGATGGCCGTGAAAGGTAAGAGCCTTATCATTAGCGTGGTTGCGGATCGTGGAGGCATTAGACTGACTCGATGACAGAATTGAACTATTTCCAGGCGACTATGTGACCATTTCGGCTTCGCGATATCCGTTTGCTAACGTCATGCCACCGGGGCGTCGAAGTGAAGATTGGGTCAATAGCATTTCAAGGACATTACAGTGGAACTCTAGACAACGACAAAAGGCATTTCACGAATGGGATGGCGAAAAGACAGTCAAGGAAGCACCCAACAAGGGATAATCTAGACGAGTCTTAGATGTCAGCCAATGGATGCTGATATAGATGCGTGTAGCCTATGAGCAGGCATCAGCCCAGAACTAGGTTTTGGGGGATGAAGATTCAGTTGTGTTTGAACGAGAAATCGATGTTCACGATGACGGACACGATGTTCGAAGACATATAGTGCGTCCTACCGCTCTAGACATACCATGGATGTACAGAGGTCGAAGGGGAACTCGTGTGCTCTGTGAACCTCAAGCTCTCCTGCGAATCTATCCCCATCACTGCAAAGCATATCGAACGTTTCTCCTCGCCCAGATCTCTTGTTACATGAGCATGCGAGGGACATGGCGGGATTGTGTAGGGTTAGCTGTTGGAGAGTGCGAAGTATTTGGCGCCTCGTTAAAACTGGGACGCCCTGGACGCCACAGAGTGGCTGCATCAACGCTTATTTCAGCCACTAACGGCGTTTTGACTGCAGCATCACAACTTTCTGAAGTTGATCGCTCCCAGACCAATTCGCTTCGCTGACCACCGGTACGATATTACAAGTAACTCGCCGGGGTCTTTTGGTGCTGCTGCTTCTTTCCACCAACACGCACCTCTCAGGCCATGGCCGCCGCTCCGCCATCCCTCTCAAACTACCCGCCGTCACACACCAGCTCCCCCTCTCGCCATCTCTCTCAATACTCTGCCTCGTCCACTGTCGCCGGGACTCCCCTCCCAGACCGCACGTCCGGCACCCCCACCAGCATCACATCAGCCTCGACCCTGCGCTACCCGTCGACCCGCAAGACCATCTACGACCGCAACCTCAACCGGTCGCGCAATGCCGAACTGTCGAGAGCCAGCTTCGCCTACCTGTTCATGGAGATGGTCGCGTACGCACACAAGCGTGTCAAGGGGATCCAGGACTTTGAGAAGAGACTGAACGAACAGGGCTATCCCTTGGGGTTGAAGCTGCTGGATCTTCTGCTGTATCGGGCGTCGCCGATGGGTGGCTCGAGTTCGTCGAGCGGAGGGTCGTCGAGTAGCAGTTCCGGAGCAGGGGCCAGTCGACCACTGAGGCTATTGCCCCTTTTGACGCTCCTGACCACCAAGCTCTACCCTTTACTGTTCTCCCGACCCGCCGACTCGCTTGAACAGTCCACGACAAATCCAGGGGAGTACATGATCATCGACAACACTCCGCTCACGAACCAGTACATCTCGGTCCCCAAGGAGATGTCCCAGTTGAGCGTGGCAGCATATATTGCGGGAATTATCGAGGGCGTGTGTGATGGCGCAGGCTTCTCTTGTAAGGCCAGCGCACACAACACGGGCACCGACGTGTGGCCCAACCGGACCGTGTTTCTGATCAAGTTTGACGAGAGCGTCATGGAACGGGAACGGGAGCTGGAGAGGCAGGGAGTCAAGTGAGGAAACTAAAAGTTCAGGGGCGAGGTTACCAACCGCTTTACGATGCTAAGGCAGCAAGATGGACAAGTTCGAGAAGAACTTAAAAGAGGACAAAGGAAACGTGGTGAGAGGGGTAACTATCGCTAACTATCTGCAATGATGGTGTCAGCCAGAGGCACAGCTCGAGGGATGTAGCGCTGTGCCCGCACTGCGAATTTTGGTCCAGATCCCTCCCTAACGGTGCTGTACGGAGCCACTGTCCAACTGTCATGGCCAACACTTTCCACAACCACCTTCCAGCTGCTCTACGACTCCCCACACAACACGCCATTATCATATTATATTTCTCGATGTCCAGCATTGAACTCTATACACTCGATCTCATCGATCCCCTCGTGTTACACTCAACGCATTTCAGTGGCACATTAGGATTTGAAGCCAACCAGCAGCGCTCTAGCTGCTACCTTGGGGCTCCGGAGGAGGAGTGTCAGGCCGGATGGGATCGATTGTAAAGATGCCTGTTGAGGGCTGTCAGCGCGAAAACCTGTGGATTATCAGTATTGCAACGAACCAGAGACAGGTTTGTCCATGCCGGGACCTGCACAAGGCGCGGTCCGAGTGTGCGGGTCGATTGGGGACATCATCAATTTGAACGACTCTGGACGGGCAGTTGGGCCTGCCCGAAGGCCTGGTGGTGGTGTCGGCAATCTTGAACTCGCACAGAGCACAGCATTTGACTGTTCGTCTGGGGAACGAATCCACGATCTGGTGTCGGCCATTGTGATACAATTTTCTGCATGTTTTTTAACAATGTCAAGTCTCCTGTTTCTTGTGGTTGACCACGAAGCGCTTGGCTTCCGTGCAGAACCAGAATCAGGCAAAGGCTCACCAGAGTCTCTCAGAGATTGCTCAGTGTTCAGCGGTATTTCTATACTCTGATTCTTTCGAGGATGCTCGGGCAGACTTGTTTCTAGGAAGGCTCGTTGCGGAGAGAGAGAGAGAGAGAGAGAGGTATAGTGATATTCGCGAGGCAAGAATGAGCTATTTGATCGAAGCAGAAAGCAGAAACAGGTCCTGGGTCCACGCATCTTTATATCAATCCCCCGCCCATCCCGTGTTTGGATGGATGCGAGGCGACGGTCAACGCAAGAGGCAGACGTCAAATCTGTTTGATATGTGGCAGCTGGCTTCTGTCAACCGGAACGAACAGAACGGCGGGCGACGTCCCCTCCGTTTGATTTATTGATTGATAGTGAGAGAGTCTGACTCGTTCGCGTGCCACTTTGTGATATGGGCGGGTGGGGTTCACTCACAGCACAGTGAGAATCATGAACAGGAACAAGAATAGGAGGGGCAGTGATAAGACAGCTCTGAATAGATGTGTCGGAATATTGATGAAGCGGAAATTGTCGAAGGGGTTGGGTTGGCACGGAACCATCCAGACTCCGCTATGAGAGAAAGGCTGAATGAAACATTCGATAGGAATGTTAGATGATTCTGGTCACTCGGTATGCTCTCCCGCCCGTTCATTTCGGAGGGATGGGAATCCTGGACTATATTCATTACATGTCCGAATTCGGAATTCTGTATTGGTGACTGTCCGCTTGTACGAGGTACAGGAGAAGGTGTACAAGGTTTTCACTTCTTGTTCCGTTTATTCGTCTGTGTACGCTGCAATCCAAGTCAACGCCACACGTTCTTGAATATCACCCGCCCACCCACTCCAAGAAGGCGGTTGAATCGCGCCTGGTTCACCATGTACATGCATGAAAAGAAGATCACTATTCAGACCTTCGCACGGTTGTCTCGTCGGCGGTTGTAGGGTTCGCGGTCTCTCGAGTTTCGCTCGTACGAATGTTCTCTCTTCCGCCGTCGAGGAGAGCGGGACCGGGAGCGAGAGCCTGATCGCGACCGCGAATATGAGCGTTTCCGTCGGTCTCTGTTCCAGTCTCTGTCGTTTCGCTGATCACGACCACTGTCTCGAGACCGGTACGAGTCTCGATACGAGTCTGCGTCTCTGTGCCCATCCCGGTTCCTCTCCCTATCGTCGCGTCGGGGAGCAACAGCACTTGCATTTGCGCCAGTCGGGCCGTTCCTCCCACCCCCGCGATCATCATCGGGCAAAAACCGCTCATCTAGGCCTCTCGTGTCGAATGCCCCTGACCCGGGCCTTGGGCCGGCACCACCACTGCCCTTCCACCTCTTCACCTCATCCCCAAACCGGCCAGTATCCTCCCCCTTGAGATCCGTGTACCTCGTCCTCCCCTTCTTCCCCAGTTTCGTCATGTCTCGCAGCCGCATGTACTCGGGCAAAGTAGACTTGTCGGTGACTTGATCCTCGAACCTCGCACCCATGATATCTCTCCTCTTGAGCAACTCGGCCGTCTCGTCGCCCTGGAAGAATGCGCCTTTGTGGTGGTATCGTGCCAGAAATGTGGCCTCAGAACGGCCCTCTTCGCGCTCCTGTTTCTGTCTTTCCAGGTATGCTTGGTCTTCCTTCTCCCGCTCCTCCGCAGTCAAATTGCGCCGCCGTTCGATCTCTTCGAGCTCCTTTTCCCGTGCAATCAGTGCCTCCCGATCGCGCTTCAGACGCTTCAGTTCCCGAAGTTTCCAGGCTGCGTATTCGGCGGCAGGGTCGAGACCGTCAGTGTCGTCCACCATGGATTCCGGCAGTACTTCGTCATCGTCATCCCATGCCTTTTTGCCCTGGGCACGGGCGAGGGCGTCACGTTCGAGTTTGTCTTTGATCAGAAGTTCAGCTTGGGCGAGACGCCGGGTTTGGACGTCTACTTCCAGGTCTGGGGTTGCAGATGCTTCAGGACGGGCATCAGAGACTTGTGCGGAAGGTTTCCGATCCGATTTCTTGATAAATGTTGGGCGCTGGAATCTTCGCCGAGGCTGTTCTTCTTCGGACGAGGTTTCTTCCTCGTTCTCGTCCTCCGAGGACTCCTCCTCTTCTGATTCCTCGTCTTCCGTAGATCTTTCTCTTGTAGATTCCGGCCTTATCGGAGCCTGTCTAGTGGAGGGTGCTGTACCCTTTGGCGGTGGTTGCACTTGTTTTGTAGGCGCAGCATTATCATCATCTTCCTCTTCTGTAACAAAGCCTTCCTCGTCATCCTCATCGCTTTCCTCTTGTCGAGCTGGCTGGATGGTAGGCGGCCGTGGTCTCGTGGTCGGCGGCTTCCTCTGGGGTGGCGGTGGTTGCTGCTGCTCTTCCTCTGGTTCTTCATCCTCGTCAGACGATTCTTCCTCCGCAATTGGCTTGCCGGGACGATACCTTGCAACGGGTCGTGCAGGGTTTGCAGTCATCCGCTTCGCGGGGTTAGGCATTGGTGGCGGCATCTTGAGAGCGGAGCATCAAGTATGGCGATAGATGAGAACGTGTCAAAAAGTCAATACCACCTCAAGGCTGGGAAGATTGCCTGCAAACCGGAGACCTGCTCTGGTGCCGGAACCCATACACTTTTGAACAGAGAAATGCAGGATGCTTGATGTTACAGTACGGCGCAGTAAATAATTTTACTCGGTCACTACGTAACTCGATCTGTCGTCGGCGCTACTGCGGGTAAATATGTGCAGTAACACGATCAGCCACGATCTCTCGTTTTTCTCATCTCATTTTCACTTTGTTTGTGAATTGGCATCGCTCATGACTACCAGCATGGTGACACCTGATGGCAGCTTTGTTACTGGAACAGCACTGTCTTTATAGTGCACTTGGGTATTAACTGTCCTGGGAATTACACTTCTGTAGGTGTCATGTCCAGTGTCACGGTTGTCTGTCGAATACCCATCCTGCTGAACGTGCGTGATAGATCAGTGAATGCTATGGCAGTCGTGATCCCTGGGTAAGACCGGTAAGCTCTTTCCTCCGCCATGGTCTAGTTCCTACCGCTTCTATCCTCGCCTTATGCTACATCTTTGCGTTCATTTAATGTCCGTCAACTAAACGTCCATATCCAATACTTGATGAGTCCACAATCACCCTTTCATTTCATCCGAACAAGAACAAAACTTCATTCCTTGAACCACAAATTCTACCAGAATTATGTCTGATAGAAGTGAAACCCCATCACCTACCGCTATGCCATCATTCCGGTCTCGCGTCATTGGAACCTGGGGCCTGGTGTCGTACGTCGCCATCAATCTTGAGGACCCGCAAGACATCGTCTACCCAATGGGCAAAGAGTGCAAAGGTCAAATCATGTACAGTAAGGACGGCTACATGGCAGCATTGCTACAAGAGGCAGACCTCGAATCCTTCGACCATGACTGGAAGGACGGTACTACTCAAGAACTGGCCAATGCAGCAAAGAAGACCATCGCGTACTGCGGGCCATTCTATCTCGATGAAGAACACAGCAAGCAACAAAAGATTGTCCATCACGCCCAAATCAGCGTTCACCCCAACTGGATCAACACGCTTCAAATTCGATGTGCAGATATGTTTGAGGAGGATGGCCGTGACTATATTATGCTGGGACCAGAGTCTCCGACTGAGTGGCAGGGTGTCAAGCGACTCCTTCGGCTGAAATGGCGCAAGCTCACTCAGAACGATGCGGCTCAACCTCCAGCAGACGCTAAGGAGCTCAAGATCTGAGAAGTGACACATATGGAGAACATGGCATAACTTACAATAAGATCCTCAGGAGGTGCTGACGACACAATCGTTCGACCATTCGGGAGCCAGTATTGTTAAGCAACAAACTGCCTTACGCCCTTTTTTGACCTGGTGAAGGATGCTGTGCATGGCGGGTGCCTGACACCACAAGCTACAAGCTACAAACCGTAGCTACATAGACCTAGAAATCAAGCTAGAGCAACCCGAGTGATATTTCCAATTTTTTGTAGCCCATGCCCCTAATATTTGGTCGCCTGTATAAATGCGGTATAGCTAAAAGTGGCTTGATCAGGCTGGCCGGCAACAGGGGCTTCCGATCCAGCCTGACCGACTTCCCCAACCATTATTATTCTGGAATTTCAATCCTGTTCAGAATGTGAACCAACCGTGCCCCAGGGTCAAGTAGATCCTTTCCCTCGGAGTCTTTCCATCTTTTCACAGCGTTCCAATGGCTGCTGAAGTAGCGAACAATGCCTCGATGCCCAGCGGGCCAACTGATCCTGAAAAGGCCGCAGTTGATCTTGCATCCAGTATTGATCAAGTAAAGCTCGAGGACAGCAACGCCCCGACCACCACGCAGACCACAGTACAGCCTCCAAATCAAACCCAACAAATCAACGAGTCTGCCGTTGCAGCGAATGACGTTACGATAGAAAAGCGTCCCGATGTCGAACCCACGACTGAACTCCCTGCACCCCCTCCGGCAAAGACATTAAACCTCCCGCGCACCGCAGCTGAAGGTGTGATCAAGACGCCACTGGCCGAACCTCTAGAGACCTCCAAGCCCGCTCCTCGACCAGAATTGGAAATAGAACATGAGAACAAGTATGCAAGCCTTCTCAAGATCGTGTCCGCCTGGACTGAGATCCCAGAGACGTCTGCAAAGGGCTCGAATACGACGCCCCTAACCGACTCAGAGCGCATGTTCTTGACAAGAGAATGCTTGCTCCGCTATCTGAGGGCTACAAGCTGGAACGTGGCACAAGCAGAAACAAGACTGAAAAGTACTTTGATCTGGCGACGCGAGTATGGCTTGGAGAAACACACAAAGGAGTACATCTCCATTGAGAATGCGACAGGAAAGCAGGTTATTCTGGGATGGGATATTCAGGGCCGGACGTGTCAATACCTGCGCCCATCAAAACAGAACACTGAGCG